ACCGGACCCTAGAGGGAGGAAAACCAAGTCCCTCTGGCTCACTCCGTAATTCGCGCTTGACCCATATTTTATGCTACTTCAAGTAGAAATCTGCTGAGCAGCTTATAAAAATATATGAACAGCTCTTTAGGGGCAATCTCGTCTCCCTTGATAGAAATGCGCACAGACACAGAGTTTCGCCTATTGGCTCTGCTCCTTGTGCAGGGTTCGCACTGCGAAGACTGCCTTTTGTTGGTTTGTGGCAATTTAAGAAGCAGCTGTCAGAAAGGAGAATCCAGTAACTCTAAATAATTGGGCGGTTTCTTCTTTTTTTATTTCTAGCTACCTATTAATTTGTGTAAGTACAGGAAGGATCAAGAACAAATAAATGACCATCATTTTTTATTGGATTCACAAAGCTTGCTTTCAAAGGAGCCACTGTATTTAAAAAAAGAAAACACAGATCCAGGAGTTACAAGACAATGGTTATTCTGCTGCTTGTGAAAATGATAGCTATATGTTCCTATGTCAGCCACCCAATCCCTCTGAGTCTCAGATTGCTATCCATAAATCAGGGCTATGGATGTGGAGCGGTGGGTACTTCTTCACTTGCTGTGTTAAAATGAAAACATGAATGACAAAACACTGTACAATGTGAAGAACTGTTGAAATGCAATGCCTTTTCTGAAAGAAGATGGACCATATGGACTCTTTGGGAGGCTCTAAATGGGAGACTTTATCTAAACACTTGAAATTATTATCAACACTTAAGAGGTTACTTAACAGGAACTTGCTGGTCCTTTTAAGCTTTTGCATTTTCCCTTTCTAAACTCTAAAGTATGTTGCATTTTATGTACAAAAAGCGTAAGAGTTGATGGCACTTAACAACATTAAATTTTGCTAAAATTATTTCTGTTAAATTTTTCCCAAGATATATGATGTAAATATATTCTTGGAGAGTATAATTCTTGGACCTATAGTAGTAGAGAAATACTATATAATATAGAAAATGATAGCATGTTAGTTATCCATTTGGATATTAAACAAGAATGCATGCTATGTTATCCAATTTTTCTTTTTATTGTTATTTCAACATAAACTGATTTCAAGAATCTATTGTCATAATACTTCAACTCAAAAACTTACTGCTGTTGAGTCAGGACTGACTTATAACAGACCCTCCAATTGGTTTTCAGAGGCTGTAAATCACATGGGAGGAGCCTGCTCATCACTCTCTCATTAGACAGCTGGTGGATTCAAACCTGTACCTTGGAGTTGGTAGTGCAACTCCTTCTTGATTAGGCCACCAGAGCTCCCTTTATAGCATTTAGATGTATAATAGTGTGTATTAAATGCTATTTAAAAGAATAGAAATTATTTTGACATATATTTTAAGAAACAATGCCATCTGGAATAAAAACATATAGACTATCTTAAGCTGTTGTTTTGTGCCATGAGGTTAATACTGAGTCGCAGTGACCACATGCAATAGAAGAGAACCATCTATTGCTTATGGTATCAAAGGATGGATCTTTATTTTTTTTTCAACTAGGATGAAACTTTTATGGGAGTAGACTGCTAGGCTTTTCCTTTCCTGGGTGACTGGTAGGCTAAACTTATTAACCTTTTGATTAGCTGCCAAATGCTTAATCATTGTTTCACCAAAGTGTTTTAGCTATTTTATGGAACTCACTGCCATGGGTTGATAACCAACTCAAAGCAACCCTGTAGGACAAAGTGGAGGTGCCTATAGGGTGCCTAATGCTGTCAATCTTTACTTCCTTCCTTTTCTCCTATGGAGCAGCTGCTGAGTTTGAATTTCTCATCTTAGCAGGTGCATGCTTCTAAGCACTATGCCACTAGGTCTTTTTTCAGAAAATCTACACTAATACTTAAATTACAGTAGTTAAAAGTAAGGTGTGAGACAAATATTTGATATGATGAAATTTGTAACTATGAAATGTTTCAGATTGAACATGACCAACATTAAACAAATAAACTAAAGTTCTTTAATGAGAGAAATGGTGATGTGAATTTCTGTTTTTTAATAGTATTAAGGAGGCTAGCTGCATATTTCTTGTACTTTATGGTAATTCACATAATAAATTGAGTAATCACACATGCAGAACAAACTTAAATTTGAACTATCTTATCTCCTTAATTATCTTAGTAATTCAAGAAACAACTCAAAATATCTAATTAACAGGGTAAATATATATTAAACTTTACATTTTTCTGGGGGGCAGGGAGAAATACAATAGAAAATATAGGGCTTAATTTTAATTTTGTGGTAAATATAAAATAAAATGAATCATTTTAAGAGATATCTAAAGGTAAACACTGTGTGAAATTTTTAAACCATTTATTTTTATGTAAGTTGTAAATTATTTGTGATGATAATTATAAGCACCCCAGTTCTATCCTATCAAGAGTGTCACTACCACTCTCTCTTGGGGACTACTTTATATGACACATGGACAATGAAATAGGTGCAAACTTGCTTATGTTTTTGAACAGAGCTATGGAATCATGTTTAACTGCTGTATAGGATTTGTCTTCTTTGATCTGGGAATTGGAGGAGATTGTGGGGGACATCAGATATGTGACACTTAAATAATAGAAGTGTTGCCTCCTGTAGTTCACTGTGATGATTTATTTATTTACATTAGTTTGGATATTTCTATTTGCTAAGAATTATCCATATATCTTCAAATGTATCCAACATGGAACTTTGGTCTGCTACTAAATGTTCTAACTTTATATCTCTCACTAGCAATGAAGCAGTAACTATAAATACTCTATATTCATGGAATCAAGTAAGAAAACAAAAACTGACACACTCATGTTAAGCTACATCATATAACAATGGCTCAGAACCCAGTAGTTTATGAATGAAATAAAGATACTTTATTTGTTACACAGGCACTTGGATATTCACATGCCCAACACAACTGATACACTTAACAGCTATGAAACACTGGTGGAAAATGTCTGCTTGTAGGATAGAGAGAACCTTCACCATGAAAAGGTGAGTGAGTGCATTAACATTTTTTCCTTTACTTTCTCCTAAGGGTTTCCAAAATCCACTGAATTTTTTTAAAAGTTACACTTGAAATCATATGCAACAAAATCTGATCTACATTTCATCTGGTATGATAACTCCAATTGTGAGAAATTTATACTTTTATCACAATGCAACATATTTATAGTCATGCTTGAACAGATTAGGTTAGTAGCATGCAATTCATTCTGCAATATGAATACTGTTAATCTATTTCCCAACAAAAGTCAAAAGATGTCTAGTGCATAGAAAAGTACAAATCACTGTTGTCAATATCGTATGGGACTGGTCTTGGGACTCACACAGTGATGATGAGATCTTGAAATGCCATGCCCACAAAAGCACATTTAAAAAGTAGGTAAACATATTTTATCAGAACATCTCTAAAAATTAAAAGACGAGAACTTTAAATTTGGGGGATGTTCTTGCTGTGTGCTTTGAACAGCGCCTTTCTGCTCACCTCCATCTGGCTTGACTGGTCCATCAGACATCACCTTCCTGAGGGCTAGCTGGCTTTGGTCTTGGTTGCCATTGGCTGGTGGAGGCAGATTATCAGACTGAGTTCTTTGAATGGGGAGGACTCCTGCTATGCTGTGTCTGTGCTGCTTCCTGGCATGATTAGACTGACCGCTTTTATGTGCTGCTGTGGCAGTGTGGGTGAAATGGAAACCCAGAGTATGTATCCTCAGATGGAACCAGCTTAAATGTTAATCATGCAAACAGAAGTGCTCTTTTGCTCTATTTAAATAAGTTGTGTTTTCAAATGCCAAAATGACACCACATGCACAGCACTAAAGGGGTTAAAACTGGCTGTTTCGTTGGAAATGATGGCTACACAGATGAGAGAGCCGAAATCTATTTCCTCTGTCTATTGTCTTTTGGAAAGAGTAGTTTATCTATGGTTTGTTATATCTCTGTATTCAGGAAATGGTACGAATCATGGAACTACTACAAATGAAATAAAAATACAGCCATTAAGAATAAGTAACTCCCAGGCTTTAATTGATTTACATCTACTATATAGTATATATTTTGACTTTCAAAAGGTCTTCAATGATTAGGATAAAAAAAACAAAGAAAAACAACAAAAACCCCAAAACAGCAACAAAAATATGCATGAATATCCTGCTAACGTATACAAAGGATGATCCACCAGAATGGACCCAATTGTGCTCCTTAATGAGGATAAATTGTCTTATCACATATGCTTACACATATACTGATATTATATATATTTTTTGAGACTGTAAAAAACATGATTCTCCTCACAGATTTTTCAAAAGACTAGAAGGTTTTGTACATGGAAAGCTACAACATTTCACATGCATTATTTACTAGTGTTTTTAAGCATAGTCTTGAAATGGCTTTTCCCTTGAGGCTTTAGAACTTGACTGTGGATTTCATTAATCATCTGCTTAAGATTTTTTGTGTGTGTATTTTCAGATGCTCAAATCTTTTTGCTGATAAACTGTTAATACTTGTGTGTGCTGTTCTAATGTCATGCCTGGAACACCGGCAGCCACTATGCTGTCAATCCTTACAGTCTAAAGAATATTTAAGCTCAACACAAAGGACACACAAAAACGCTTTGCCTAGAAACCATCACAGACACAGCTACCAAACACTATGAGTCAGGATGGATGGATGGTTGGACACAAAGGAGAAACAGCCAGTTTTATTGCAGTCTATGGAAATTTAAAAAACAAAACAAAAACAATCTATAACAGAAAACAAACGCAAAATAAAACAACCAATAAAATAAACCAAAACCATAAAGATAACCTCAACAGAAAGGAGCATATATAGATATGTATTGATTCTCTTTACACAGACAAAGGGACAGAAAACAGAGTGAGCAGGGGGTGCAAAAACAGAAAGCAAACTGGGAAGGACAGCAGGAAAGAAAGGCAACAGATGAACATTAAGCTGCCATGCTGAGGAATTTATTTGCGTCTTTTACTTGGTTGCAGGCGGAGTTGTTGCACGGCAGCTTCGGCCGCAGCGATGGCGGCCCCAGCATCTTCCAGGTGCGCCTGTGTGACGCTGGTTTTGCTTTGACTGCGCGACGGTCCGTGAGAGCGGAGATGGCCTTCAGAGGACGACTTGGAGCTACCAGGGCTGCTGTGGGATTTCTCAATGGTGGGAACCTGCATGTCTGGTTACAAAAGTGTAAGACGTACGTTAGTGCTGCTCCAGCCTCCCTCCAGTCAAGACTGGTCTAAACTCATTTGAAAATAGGAGGTTCATGTTTATTTTGTCTCTTTTATTATCCTGTTCATCATATCTTACTGTGACTGAACGCTAGGGAAACAAGTGTAAGGAGGAATGGGGAAAAAACATGATAGCCTGAAGAAGACAAAGTTGGAAAGAGAAATACGTTCTAACCAGCTGCAAGGGAATGACTTGTGCCCTTTAATGTGGCATTTTCACTGAGCAATTCTGCTAAAGACTGAGTCAGAAAAAAAGGATTTAGGATAGTGCAGCGAGAATTTTAACTTGGTACATAGCGAATTTCCAGGGGAAGATTCTCTGATATTCATTCTCTGTCTGTCTGTCTCTCTTTGTCTCTCTCTCTCTCTCATGTATGTGTGTGTATATATATATATATATATATGTGTGTGTGTGTGAATAATATATATATATGTATATGTGTATATAATGTGAATATTTATATATGTGTATTTATGTATTTAAAATGGAGACTGTACAATAAGGCAATTTTAAAGAATATATAAATAATACTCTTGCTAAGATAGTAGTCTTAGAGAGGAGAACATTGTCTTATGCTTACGTTTCTCCAGAATATTATTCAAAGCAATATTTTTTTTCAAAGTAAGATTTTTTTATAGCTAAATAGAATCCATACTGGTTCTATAAAAGTCACTCATGAATAATCTATAGCACTCAATTCTCAATGATTTATCAACACGGTATTAGTTTTCCATTTACTAGACTATTTAAACTTTTGATGCATTCTTGTCTAGTCTACAAATAACTCTTTTCAATTTGATATGCCAAGAAAAGACAATATGGAAGAAACAATGAGCTCCAGTATGAAAGCAGTTATTTATTTCATGAGGAGCTCTGAATGTCTCGGGAAGATGCTACATGGTTATAATCAGCTCATGATGGGTATTAGAGTTGTACTGAAGAATAGCAATGAATCTACAAAGGAAAAGCTCATTCAGTTGGGAACATTTTGTGTCTTGCTAAGGCAAAGTGTGTGTGTGTGTGTGTGTGTGTGTGTGTGAATACTCATAGAAATAACTTGAGTCAAGCAGTTAGAAAAGACTGTAAATTTTGAATTTTATGTTGTTCATCATTTTCATGACATGAAAAAAATACTCTGGTATATTAAATAAAAAGAGAATATAAAATACCATATACATAATATAATAAGTCTCTTTCTCATCACTATGTCTATTCAATGAGTTAGTGAGGGTTTTTAAAATTTATCAACTACCAACTGCATTATGTAAAATTATATTACTATGGAGTTTGAGATGTCAAAAAAAAATTTAAAAAAAGACCAAACAGCAAATACAGTCCAATCTAATTTATTTGACAGGTTGTTAAAAAATACAGGTGGGAGAGGGTCACAAATATCACACACCTAAAAGGGGCTACTCTGAGCCTAAAGCCCATGTCTTCTGATTCTATATACATTACTCTTTGTCTGGTACTATAGGAAACATTTTTAAACATAATCTAAATATTGAAAATATCTTAAATGTAAAGGAGATACAAATATAACAAATAGACAAATAGAAAAACATGTTTTTATTTGAAATATCTCCTACCCTTGGATGGGTCAGGGAAGATACCGTGGCTTCTGCTTTTGATGACGGAGGGCTTGGGGGATTGCTGGCTGCTCTGACTGGAATGAGGCTTGCCATGATCAATGCTTTCAGTCTGTTCTTTGAGAGGATACCACCTAGGAGTGTTATCGAGGTGAGATGTGCTAGATAAATCAATCAATACCTGAAAAACAGTGCAACAAATCAATGGAATTTATAGATTATTATTTTTCCTAAGGTCTAAATTTTACTCAAGGATATCAACCAAAGCATACAGTAGAAATTCTGAAAGGCTGACTTTGCAAAGCTCATTTTGTCATCCGTTATCATATTAGGAATAGTGTTTTGTGCATATTGGACGATAAATTGGGCTTTCATGTATACACTATACACATTATTTTACAACATTAATGAAATTAGTTGTTACATGACAGGAAAAGGTAGGATGAAAGTCTATCTCTTCATTAAAAAATTAGGTTTTTTTATACTTACAGCTTTAACTTGGCCAGCAACTTAGAAAAATGTTTTTTCTTACAAGAGGGGCAGAATGAGTGGAAAAAAAGGATAATTTGCAAATGCTAACTTGTTTTTTCTATTAAACATGCTTTAGTTCACATTGGAAATTTAAACTTGACTAACAACGACAACAAAACATAATTGGACTCATTATTTCTTTCTTAGTAAACAGTACTTCATCTTAAATTTTAAAAGCAGTTCAACCTATATAGAGAATATTGCATGTTAAATTGCTGGCATCTCAGATTTAGTGAGATGTAATGTAAGTGAAAACAAGCACAAGGAATATAGTATCATATAATCTATGAATAAGTAAATGTATGTAAACAAAAGAAAAAATTAGAAAGATTTCAAAACTTCCTTTTTTTTCAAACTGAGACATACAGTCATATGTAACTTACTTCCGCAAGTCAGCCTTGCCAAAATTTTCAAATTAGTCTAAGTGGTTAGACCAGGATCTTACACCTGAAGGTCAAAAGAATCTAGTTTGGGAAGAGAAAAAGAACAAACCCCAAACCAGCAGCAACAACAAAATGGCATAAAGTGAGGGTAATAAACAAGTCCTTGTGTCATTTCAGACTATATAAATGTTTAATATCGTCTCTCTCTAAAAAGGAGAATGTATTTATTATATTTAGAGATAACTGTTTTTTAGTATTCTTTCATAACTTCTAGTCTAAACAAAATGAACCAAACAAAACAACTCTTTTTGAAGGTAAGTAATTAAAACTTCATTTGATCTGACTATTCCACTAGATTTCATGACTGGTTATTTGTGATTGTGTGTGAATGTGTGTGCATGTGTGAATTTCTATAAAAATCACTTTTTCTCCTTCCTACTTCCTGTTTCTTCACATATTTTACGATATTTTCTCTGGTTAAAAACAGTCAAAACTATTGCCTTGAGTTGGAACCAACTCATAGCTGACCCGCCAGCTGGTTTCCAAAGCTGTAAATTTCAGAGGAGGAGATTGCCCGTCTTTCCCACCGGAGCTGCTGATGGATTTGAACTGTCAGAGAGTGGTGACCTTAGCAAAGCAGTGCCCTCCTGGTATGCCAACACAGCTTCCTTTTCTCTGGATAATCATAGTTAACAATATAAAGTATCAGGCCATTTTAGACAAGCATCATAAAGATCCATTTAATCAATCTGAAAACAATGCATTTTTAAAAATGTAGTTCATTTTGTGATTGAAATTTTTTGACATTTTAATCTTTTGGACTCATAGCATCATAATATCAAAACAATATTTTTTCTTAAAAATTCACTACAACACACATCAAGGAGTGGAGTAAAAATTATTTCTTGAGTCCATCTATTCATAGACTAAATGAGGGAATATATTCTGTCAGCCTAAGAATATTATCTATAAATTTCTACCTTATAAATTTAAGAAATACACTGAGCCTCAAGCTTTAACAGATAATGGTTTACAATGGTAGCAAATAAAGTAAAGAAAATCAGACTCACCTCACCAAGAAAGTCATTGGAAGAAAATCTATCATAATCCCAGACTGTCACTTCCAATGTTTTCTTCTTAAGCTACAGTTTAAATCAAAGTGTCATTAACTCCGTTTTTCCATCATACACTTTCATTATACTCACACAATAGACCCACTTAGTTTGGGGATCTTTCCTTTTATGTAAGACTATTTAACTAATTATCAAAATGGTTGGATTTTATATGACATATTAGGTAAAAGCGAACTGACTCTTGTAAATTACAAATTACTTTTGTAATCTAGAGTAGTGTTTGAACATAAAAATTAATTATTATGTGATAAAATGGTAATTTTTACTTCTTTCCTATTGACCTGCTTCTCTAAATTTTAAAATAGAAATTAGAATCTATAAATGTTCTTTATACAAATGAAATTCATAGATTGTAAAATAATTTAAATCAACTACTTATAGTTTGTTTCAATCAAATGCCAAAAAGAATTATAATGGCATTATGTCTCATCTCTTTTGAATTTAACTCACTTGAAAAATAAAAAGCCAAGATTAAAATTGACATCTAGCTTCAATATCACCATCACTTTATAAATCTTCCAATGGACAAACAGGAAATTCCCTTATATAGATTTCTTCTTCTTGTATTTGTACTCTTTTCTGTCTTTATTCAATTTTCTAATTATTTCTGTAAATCTATGAAATGCAATTGCTGAAGTGGAAGTGCATTAATATAGTTTTCAGTTGTTGTTGTTATGTGCCATTGAGTCTCCTGTGTGTGACACCCCTGTGTACAACAGGTCTGAAACCTGCTCCTGCCTGAGCCAACCTTATTCTATCAAACACACCTACCCCATTACTCCAGTCACTGAGTCAATCCATCTCATTGAAGGTCTTCATCTCTTGCGCTCTCCCTCCACCCTGCCAAGCATGAAATCCCCCTTCGAGGACTGGTCCCTCCTTGCAACAAAGCTGTTGTCAGAGCTTCAGAATCCTTGCCTCTAAGGAGCAGCATGGTTTCACCCTCTTCAGGATGATCCTGCTTTTTTATCCTTGCAGTCCATGGTATTTTCAGCACTCTTCTCTAGATACAGCTCAAAGGCATTAATTCTCATTCTATCATCCCTAGTCATTGTCCAGAATTCTGATGCATAGCAAGTAACTGCAAAGGC